TAATTATATACTATTTTTTCTTTTATAATCTTAATTTTTAAATGATATTGATCACCACTATTCTTACAAAAATTAAGCACAGATATTAATATGCGTTACTATCAAGGTTGTCAACTTAAGTTTTCTCAAATACAACGTATTTGCTTGCTTAAAATTGAAGTTTTAATTCCATTTTAATACCACTGGGAAAAATGATAATGGAAGGGATTAAAAGTTGGCAGGTATGTATTAAGTAGTTAGAATTTCTTTTTGAATGCTTGTTTACGTCTATTTTCGAAAAAAAATATAAGTGAATAACTTTTAGGGTTATTCGAATGGTACAGTTTTAACTACGTACCAAATTTAATAATTTTCATTGAAAATTGCATTTATTAAGTACATTTTTATAAAAAATATGACTAACTTATTCAACAATTTTAAGTTTTTACCTGCAATAGAACGAATAAATAAATGCAAGAGATTGGCTGAATAAGAATTTCGTCATAAAAAATCTATTTAATGTGCGCGATCTTTCATATATTTTTGGATCTGTCAAAGTTTTTTTTTCTTTGAAATTCTTGTATTAAATTGCGGAAATAATTAGTTTATGCGTTCGAAAATTTCATGGGAGTATGTTCAAAAGCTTTTAGAATATCTAAACTTTTTCTAAACTCTAAACTTTTTTAATGTGATTTAATTTAAGTATAAAAATTTAAAAAAAGTATTCTAAATATTTTTGCAGATTCATTTTGAAGAATCTCAACCAGAAATAAATGGAAAAGATGGTAACAATAAATTAAGAAATAATGCTATTTCAACAATTTTCGATGCTCCAAATTTAGTGCCAAATTTACTTTGATATCATTTATATTTTTTATATTTGATATTTTTGCAGGTTCATTTTGAAGAATCTCAACTAGAAATAAATAGAAAAGATGGTAACAATAAATTAAGAAATAATGATATTCCAACAATTTTCGATGCTCCTACTTTAGAGCCAAATTTACTTTGATATCATTTATAAAAGAGATTGATGTAATTGACATATAGCGCATACATAATTTTTTTATTTAAAACTTTTTTTTATTAGTGAATTTGTATAAGCATGCAGTGAATTTGTAAAGCATGAAACAAAGTTTCCGAAAAGCAATGTTAATCTATGCACGTTTTTCTTTACTGAATATCCTATATAGTTGAGGTTAACGTCGTTCGTGTCGATAAGTTGCCAAATCTTGTAGCTCTTCCTTATTAGAAGAATAGCTTTTGATTCGAAATGGCTGATATGATAAGTCGGCCTTTCATCATCATCATCATCAACATTTATCTGGGCGCCTGGGGCAGTTAGCGGCCTTTTTCTCATTCGTCTTGAATTTTGATCTTTGGGGTGGTTCTTTCTGGTAATTGGAACGCAATTGAAGTAAAAGGAAATTGAATATTTTGTATTTTAGTTAAAATTACGTCACTACAAAAATGAGCAGCCATCGGTCTGAGGTTTATGTCTTCTCTTAAGTTTTCAAAAGTAAAAATTTCGTTGAATCCTGCGGTGTCACAATTAAGGGTTTTTTCAAAAAATCTGAAATTTAGCTTTGCAATGTGATGATCTAAAAAATCTATGTTGAGGTCGCGATGTATGTTTTTATTTCTGATAAACCATCTTGCTTTTGTCATTTTCCTGAGGATTTTGTTCTGGCATGTTTTGAGTTTTTTAAGGAGTGATGTGGTGATGTTGCACCAAGCTGGAGATGCATAAGTCAGGATGGGACGGATTATTGAGCTGTAGAGTATTCGTTTAAGTCTAAGTTCCATGTTAAGTCCTAAGTTAAGTCTAAGTAATCTGTGGCAGGCTGCTTGTGCTTTGTTGATAACTGTTTTGATGTGATCTTTCCAATTAAATTTACTGTTAATGACCAGACCAAGGTATTTTGCGCTTTTGACTATGGGAATAATTTCATTAAAGAGAACAATTTGATTTTTGGGGAGGATGGTTTTTCTTTTATGCTGAATGAGTAGTAGTTTTGATTTTTGTCCGTTTACTTTGAATTTCCAGTCTAGACACCATGTTTCTAAGTCGGCCTCTCTAATTCAGGGGCTCTAGTATATGCTTCCTAAAATTAAGAAAGCTGGTAGTAATACCATTTTAAGTCTAGCTTATTTTAGGAAAAATCTAGAGTACGAAGAAGAAGAAAAAATTACAAAAATAAATAAATAAAAATTTTAAAAAAAGTCAAGGCTACGAAGACTTTTTAAAAGTTATAAAGTACTAGACGGCTGTGGCTAAAATTTGTGGTAAGGTAATCGTAAACAAGTTGGTAACCACAAGTATTTACATTTTGCGGAAACAAATTAAAATGGTTTTACTGCCAGTTTTTTTACCTCTATTCTAGAGGACTAATTTGGACGAATGGAAAGCGACGTTTCTCTGCTTCAAACTAAGTTAAAATTTAAGCAAAAAATTCATTGAAACAGAAACAAATGTTAAGAAATATTTTAACATACCTGCCAACTTTTAATCCCTTCCATTATCATTTTCCCCAGTGGTATTAAAATGGAATTAAAACTTCAATTTTAAGCAAACAAATACGTTGCATTTCAAAAAACTTAAGTTTACAACCATGATGGTAACGCATATTAATATATGTGCTTCATTTTTGTAAGAATATTGGTGATCAAAATCATTTAAAAATTAAGTTTATAAAAAAAATAGTATATATTTACTACCACTTTAAATATGAAAATAAAATCTTCCGCAAAATCCGGAAGAGTTGGCAGGTATGTTTTAATTCTGCTCTATGTTTTGTTTTTAAGTGACAATTGTTTTTATTCTTTCACAACTCAAAAAGTGGAATTTCATTCTACGGTTATAATAGTAACGTCACGTCCCTATCCTCAAATATATATATATATNATATATATTCCGTTACTATGCTATCCGATTATAAAAGTGCAGTGTCATAAGTAATTTTATAACGATAATAAATAATGAAAAAAAGTTGATAACATTTGTCCTTTAATAGTGTTAAACGATTTTTTTTTTTTTCATTTTTGAATTTGTAAAATTCCGTGTTTGACGTGGTTTTTATTTTATCTCTATATGGTACAGAACATGTTTCAATTTGCTTTTAAAAAAATTTTCTTTTCTTAGAGAACTCTTATTTCAAACATAACTCTACTCTATTTCAAACTAACATTTTTAACTCTTATTTCGTTTATAAAATGCAACAGCTTTTATATTTTTGTTGAAAGGTACTTTATTTCGCAAGATAGCTGAAATTTTTGTTCAGATTTCTTTATTGTTCATTTACATGAAAATAAAATTTTAATAAAATAAATCATTTAAAACTAGCTAGGAGCCGCTTTTTTAAATATATTTCAACCCTTTCTGGGACAGCATATATGAAAATTTTATTCGGGTAAAGCATTAGCAAGGGCGATCTTAAACAGTAAACACTAAGTGAAGCAAAATACTAGACCTCGTTTTTGTTTATAGAATAGTGGCTACTAAACATTTAACTGTAATTAGTTTTAATTATTATTTTGTGTTTGACTTGCAAAATTTATTGAATTACTCTTTCCAGACTGGTTACACAACTCTGAAAAGGGTTAACCATCACCTCCTACATCAGAAAGGCTGCACACGGTTTTTTATAAGTAGTCTGCGCAGACTATTTGAAAAGTGAACCAGTGTTACGCATGAACCCAGATTCTATATTAAAAGTAATTCAGAGAAATTTATCATAAGTAATTAAGAATTAAATCTGTGGAGGCAGACAAGTAAATAAGACAAACCAATCATATTCATAAACTAAACAAGTTTTTTGACATATATATTCTACCACTTTCTTATTTTTATTAGTAAAGCTATTCTTAGTATTCTCATGAGTAAAGCTATTCTTAGAAACTAACTTATAACAAACTCTCGACGACGATCGGTAATTTGTAAAGTGCCTGCCCTCTTAATCTATATTATGCCCTAGGGCGACTGGTACTAATGTCATAGGGAAGAAAGATAAATGGAGGAGTTCAAGGCAGTTGGCGGCTCGAGATATTTGCATGGGCAGCTCAAATCATGAATTTAACAATCTCCAGAGATGCCAACTGCTCCGGACACGCGAAAATAATTAGAAAAACGGTAATTACTACTAAGTAAATTTAGCAATTATTTTGACTACTTTTGCTTGCTGTTTAAAAGGCATAGCATAACGTAAGTACTAGAAAGTTGGGAATCTTATAAGCCTACGCATTATTTCAATATAGAGGTGGATAAAAAGCTACTAAATTGAATTTATTAAACCAAGAATCACAATTAATAAACTACCACTTTAAAATATATATTTGCAGTCCGGAGCAAGTTGGCATCTCTGAATCCCTCATACAAAGCAGTATTATATATATATTGTAACCGTTAAAAAATGTTGGTATTCATGAATATTTTCTTCTTAGAATAAAAAATGAAATTTCTTTGTTACCAGGTTTTACTCTTTTCTGTCCTTATATATATATATATATATATATATAAATATATATAAATTGTTGCTTGTTATTTTTTTACTTATTATTTCCCCCCTTTTTTTCATATGTCTATAATTTTTCTTTGCTTTATTCCTCATTTTGAACTTATATATATATATATATACTTTCAGCTTTTAATGTAGTAACATATAACAGCCAATTTAAAATGAATGAATAATTGAATAATTTCTCAAAATAATATTAACTTTTGTGTTTCAATTGAGAGATTTCGACTCGCATTGTAGTTAAAACTGGTTAGAGGAAAAAAAATACTAAAATACTTTTTGAATGTTGCGATGACTAGCAGGATATTACCAACTATGTGCAATATATTCGAGGTAAGGAAATATTCTTGAGCTCTATATTGTTTTAAAAAAATAATTGCTTAAAAACAATGCAAGTTAGGAAATAAATAATTTTTAATTTTTAGCAGTGTGTAACATTTTTTGAATAAGTATTGCCACACTGTGCAGAAAGGGGTTAATTAGAATGTATCAAAAATTGGATCTTACTTTGGCATTCCAAATCACTTTTGTGCCCTCCACGTGCAAGATAACCAGCCTCACACCTGCATTCATAACTTCCAGGTATATTCACACATTGAGTCCCTTTGTTTCTGCAAGGCTTTTCGAAAGCACACTCATCTATGTCTAAGAAAAGGAAACAGTTATAAGGATGCCACAGGCTTCTGAAAATGCTGTGACTAATAAAATTCAAAGTTTTCATTTAAAGAAATTAAGATTTATACCACTGATAGGTTAACACGAAGAATGTTCTAATAATAATTTAAATGAATAATTTAATGAATAATTAAAGAATAATTTAAAATGTAAGAACATGTGGTAGTTAAGATTGACTAATTAAAGAGATAATGAATGAATAAAATAATTAGTTTTTACCACATTTGTAGTCTCCTGTGGAATCCGCGCAGTTAGAACATTTTAGAATACGTTATTCAGTGAGATGTTTGCTTGATTTAACTTGGAAATAACAGAAATAATTTTAATAAGAATAGCTGTAATGTTTATTTATTCATTTAATTTTTTCTTTTTTTTCTGTATTTATTTATTTATATATTTATTTTTTGGGGGAGCACAACAACAGTATATGAGCTGTCCACTTCGTTTCACTGGACTCAAAATTACAAAGAATTCCTGCTATAGGGATTTAGAGGGCACTGGTCTAATGCCCTGCACCACAGCTTCATACCTGCCAACTCTTTTGGATTTTCCGGAAAATTTTATTTTCATATTTAAAGTGGTAGAAAGTATATACTATTTTTTCTTTTATAAACTTAATTTTTAGATGATTTTGATCACCAGTATTCTTACAAAAATTAAGCACATATATTACTATGCGCTACTATCATGGTTGTCAACTTAAGTTTTCTCAAATACAACGTATTTGTTTGCTTAAAAGTGAAGTTTTAATTCCATTTTAATACCACTGGGAAAAATGATAATGGAAGGGATTAAAAGTTGGCAGGTATGCAGTTCTGAAAGAAGTACATAACTTACATTTCTCCGCATTTATTCTTTAAAAATAAATTACTAGCTCATTTTTCTTAGAAAATAACATCAAAGCTATTAAAACCTGATAACTACTATAATTTGAAAGTGTTTCCTAAAATGATACAAAAAGAATATGGCTGCAACCATAAATTTTATTTTGATATTTTTTTGCAAAATTAAAAAAATATTGGAAGAGAAATTATTTTTAAAAAAATATTTGTGTGTGTGTTTTCTTATTTATTATTATTTTTTTTT